ATTCCTGGAGCTTCAGCTAAAGGAAGCGTAAACCAATTTCCTCCCTTAACTTAGAGACTATTAAAGTTTGAGATTAGTATGTTCTGTGGATTTGTACCAAGCATTTGAATAAACAAAACATCTTGAAATTCTTTATGGAAAATAAAATTCCATCCTGAGAACTTAAGATGATTTTGTCCCTATGTGTGCCTGAACCTTGGAAGCATTATATTTAACTTCTGCAGAGTAGATATTTGTCTCATTGACTTGCACAGTTCATGCATTCATTGCAAAATGTATATTTATGCTGCGACTTAATATTGTTCTTTTATACTTCTTCGTCCATAGAGAGAATTGGTCTAATCCAGGAGGGCTGCGTTTGTGATTTTTCAAAAAAACATTGTGTATGAGCAGCCTTCGGTAAATATGTACATGAAGAAATATGTACTTTATTTTTTCAACATTATTGGAATTCATGGCATGATTCCAGTAACATGATTTTTCTTTTGTTTTCTCAGCTGATTGTCTAATTACCTTAACTTTTTTCATTTTTAACAGAGATTGTGACAAACCTTCAAAATCCCTCAAATGATGATTCATCTTATGAAACGAATAATGTATATGAACGAATACGACTTGAGAAGCTTGCATTTGTTCACAGGGCAGTCAGTGTTACATCAGACCATAATGGATGTAACTTTGCTGTTTTACAGTCAGATCCTAAAACAAGGTATCGTTCAAGTACTTAACAACATTCATTTTATGGAACATACTTACCTGGAACTAACAGAACTAACAAATACAGAATTGTTCCTGACAAAATCTGTGCCTTTTGTCACATGAATCAACTTCCACTGCTGCTAATGTTTTGCATCTGAGATGATGATGACAATCTTATTTTATTAATAAGAGGGGTGAAATGCCTCGACTGGCCTTTTTGCAAATACAAGGATATATAGTGCACAAAATCCAAAATTGGGAAAATGTTGCTGGTAGTGGAGTCATTATCCATGTTAGGACTCAACACTTCAGAGGTTCCTGCAAACCCTTATTTTCTAAGGTGTGGGAGTATGTCTGTGTGTGCCCATGGTGTTGGTGTTGTATACTTTCCTAGCTTGCAATTGTAACCCAAAGGTAATGATATATTCCTTCAACGGTTTCTTGTTTGGCAGGAGGGTAAAATGACTTAAGAGGCTGGGTTTTTGTTTTTCTTATATTAAGCATGGAGATTTTAATAGCATTAAATGAAAATGATCTTTTGAAGAAATACTGATATAATTCTATCTTTCAGTTTATATGAGATTCCGAGTGTGTCAGCATCTAGTTTTCATGAGGATTTTGGCAAATTGTTGGGAGAAGCAGAAGTTATGGATATCATCCATGATGTGACGTTTCGGGTTGGCGCCAGGACTTTTGCTGTGCATAAGTATATTTTGGCAATGCGCTCTGATTTTTTCCGGAAGCTTTTTGTGTCAGATCAGAGTTGGCTAGATCCTTCTGACCTTTACCGTAAAGATGAAGATGATGTTGGTTGTGATCTGTATGTGATAGAAAAACTTCATCCAGACTTGTTCATGTACCTTCTGCAATACATGTACACAGATTCATGTGATTTGCTGATTCATGGTCATAGGCCCAAAATGATATATAAAGAAAAAATGGAAGACAATGAAGACAACTTGATTACAAACTTGAATAAAATAACCGTTCATGGAGATGTTAGCAGTAAATCTGCATTTGAGGTTTACAGAAGTAACCAAGCTCATATGGTAAATGAAAAACAGAAGAGTAAACCAAAATCCACTTCTAAAAAATGCAAGGGCACTGGAGAAGAAGTGAATCTCATAAAAATGTTGCAAATAGCTGCTAAGAAATTTGGACTTGGCAGTTTAAGTTCAAGGTATGTGATCATTCATGCATACATGTTTATGCATTATTGTTCTAAAAACTTAATCCTCAGGTTAAGCACATGTATCCATGCTACAAAGCTCCTGAAGGAAGGATGCTTCCTTCAGAAAGTATATTAGCAAGTATGTGGTTTACCAATTCCTGAGGAGTTTACTGCCACATGGAATTGTGGTAACGTTACATTGTCACAAGTTTATTTTTTAAAGGCAGGTCTGGGGCACAATTTATCCTCAGTGTTTGAAGCAATTTATGAATATTTGCTTTAGAAATAAAATCAGTAGTGTGGAGCACCAGAACTGGTGACCTTTGTTTGCAGTTTAAAAATAGCTGTTGAATTCTTCCTCATATACTATGCAGCCCAAGATTACTGCAACAAAATCATAACAAATTATCAGTGGTACTTTTTTATCAGGCGTTGAACATTTGGAAACTCTAGTTCCAATTCTGTGTGGTGCTGTGGTCCCAGGAGACCTCAGTAAAGTTTTTACTAGTATCACAAGTAGCATCTTTGAAGACAGTTAAACCTCTAAGGACATTTTCTTAATTCTAGAAATTATGAGTAAATGTTTGCTCATATGTGCTGGATCAATGGAATGTATTGAAATACTGTAATTGAATAATGCTAATTAATTGGTAATCCATCATTCTTCTGTGGCTTTCTATTAATTATTTATAATTCATAGAAATAGTCCATTATTTTTGAACAAACTGTTGTTACTATGAATTTCTCTATGCAGCATGGATTTTATTTTATTTTCCTTGCAGGCTAGATGGTGTCAGAATAGAAAATGGAAGAATTAATGTTGTCAGCCGAAAAAATGGTAACAAACCAAAGTTAAACCAGAAAAAATGGCAAGTTTCAAAATTATTTCAGGAGAGGAGAAGTTGGGATTACAAAATAAATGTACAAGTGTCTAGTCAGATATAATTTTGTGAAGAATTATGAGAGAAGAGAAACTTTTGGCTGGCATGTGTCTTCAGTCCAGCCTTCTATTTCTCCTAGAGGAGGAAGAGTTTGCTTGGATATGTTATCTTCTGGTATAAAGTGTTTATAGAGTGGGTTGTGACAAAACTTATGTGCAATCTTTAACATGAATACAACATTACCAGTCTAGCACAATGGAGGACATAATTTAGTAATGCATCTTTGTCTTTTGTGCTCTGTGCTTTTCATAAAATTCTGAGATGGAGATTATATGCACAGACAGTCATTTTCTTTGTAGTTCGCTGCCATTTTCCTCCAACTCTGCCTTCCTCCTGCTTCCACTTTTCAGCACCTCTAGTTCGTCGATATGCAGTTTTTCCTACATATCTTACTCAGTGGTAGATACTCTGAGTAGCAGAGATACATCCCTCTTTATGGTGACTAACACCTCTTGATGTAAAACTATAGTCATAAGTACAGATTATTTTTTTTTTTATGCACCTTGTCTGTGAGCTTATTTCAGTAGCTTGTTTGGGTTGTCTTTGTAAAATGATGAACTATGCTCTGTTCTGCAGTAAGATAAGAGGTGTTTGTTGATTTGTTTTTAGTTTTTGCCTGCATGTTAACCTTCAGGTTATGAGGTGGCATAGAAATGGAAATAAATAAATAAATAAAGTTACGCTTAGTGAGGAGGAAACTACTGACTGCTATTAATTTAGTATTTACCAATTAATCTTCTTACACTAAGTTGTTGTTTTAGTTCTTTCCTCTGTGATGTGACCATGAAGTCTATAGATGGAAAGGAATTCCCTTGCCACAAATGTGTTCTCTGTGCAAGACTTGGTAGGTACAATGTAAGGTAATTTGGGTACTTTCTTACCAGTTATGTGTCTATTTAATGCATGTCAAAATGAAGTCTCTCTTTTTTTTCAGACTACTTTCACAGCATGTTGAGCAGCTCCTGGATTGAGGTACAGTGTATATACATCTTGCCCTTTTTCTTTAATTCATGCAAAAGTTTTTTCTCTGGGTGCATAGAGAAAATAATTATCCATCAGATAGAACTTGCTAATAATGGTTTGTAAAAAAATACATTTGTACCTATGTAATAATATGAAAACCATCCAGCAGTGAATGAAAATGGATACCAGCCTAGAGCAGTGTGCAGGGAGCGCATAGGGTTACTGTAGTTCACACATGACAGTGCAATGACTGAGTAGTGAATGTACAAGTGATGCGCAAATCAAGTGCGCACACAGGGCTTTCATACTGCCTGAGATAGCAGTTTGCATTGCAGAAGTTACATGTTTATAGATAGCTATTTTTTCAGGTTATGTTTCAGTTATGTTTGATCATAACATTAAAAAGGTCTTGCCACTTAAATAACAGTAACATTAGTTTAAAATAAGCAGGAACTGCTAATAAAACAATTCAAGGCTAGTGGGGAAAAATTAGTGTCGGAAGAGTACTGACTTCCTAATACAGGCTAGTTCCTGAGGTACGAATGAATTCTGTTCCTGAGAAAATGGAAAATCATCTTTTAAGTTAAATTAGTATGTAAGTTGGATCATGTGTACTCAGCTTCCACATTTGTGGGACTTAGAGTGCAGGATGCCTAAGCAAGTAGAGAAACCATGCATATTTCTAAGTCCCGTCTGTACCCCAAAACTCACTAGTACCTTGTCTTTGTAGCAAGGAAATGCTGGAGGGATTTCCTTCGCTGGATGGGTGGGGCAGAAAGGCATGCTTTGGCGACTTTCCTCCTCTCCCCTTCTGCTTCCTCTGTCCCCATGATGGTGATTTCCTGCAGCAGTTTTTTACAAATTAATAGGCTATATGTTCATTCGTAAGTACAGGTTATTTGTAACTTGGAGCTTTGTAGCTCAGGGGCTGCCTGTGATGCTGGTGGTGGTGCTGATAATATAACTAGTTAACATGTGTAGGAATGGAATTTATAAGCAAAGATGAGAAAGGTATATGGCTTTCGGAGCAGGAGCCCATATAATCACCTCCAGGTAGGTTGGAATAGAAAGAAGTCCTGTCTAACAGTACCTAATGTTAAAATAGCAGTAACTTAAGGCTTGTCTAACACTAATGGTACTGCTATTTAACGCTCAACATTCTGCAATGATTTACTCATTCAAGATGCAAACATCCCATATGTTGCTTTCCTTTTTGTATTGAATGGCATTCTTTATATACAGGGTACCTCACAGAGAGCGCATCTTTCAAGATGTATTGTGTGTAGAGTGTTCAGAATTGCTGCACTTCTGATATACTACTTTTATATAACTTCACAGCATGATTTAGTTTATTTCTAACAATAAGAGCAGAATGAATGATGTGCAAATCATGTGCAGATGCAGTGTCTGTGTAGGTGGGTAGCAGCTTCATTTAATTTTCTGTTCCCTTGATGAAGATAAGCACTTTTGTCCTTTCTGGCTGATGTATGTAGCCAGAATGTACCAGAAGCAGCTGCAAGGAAGTGGGTACACCATCCTCAATACAGAGAAGCAGGGAGTGTAGGTAAAATTGAAGCTTTTGGCATTGAAAGAACACTGGTGGGTGAGTCAAGTTATTGAAACGTGGAACTCTTGCACAGCCAGGGTCACTGGAAGTAACTCAGTTGGTAACAAAGCATAAGAGACACAGGGAACACCAGCAATATGCCTCTGACGGGGGAAATGTTAATACTGCCAGTAATGAGGAGTTGGCTCTCTTGTTGAGTTCTTGAATCAATGCTTTGAAGCAGATGTTCACCTGTTGCTGATTATGAAGCCCTGGAAGCTGGTCATAAGCTGTTAGGAACACATCTTGATCCGCCTGAACACTTGTTGGAATATAACGAGATATTTCAACCGGACACCATCGATGTTCGCATGGTGACACCCTGTTTCGTCCATTCTCCTGCATTATCCAAAGAACACAAATGCAGCAACATGAATGATGTGTCTTGCACACATCAGTGCACATGTCACATCATAATCAGAAACAGACTGTGAATTGAATCAGACAATGAATACATCTGTCACAATATACCACCTTTTATCGCTGGAATCATAGGAAATTTGTGCTCCAATGGATGACTAATGAGACCACAGAAACAAAGGCAGAACTAAAGCAAGAGAACAGATGTGATTTAAAAGAATGATCTCAGAGGCAATACTGCTTATCCCACCTAGTCCCATGTGGCAATGATCTGATCTTTTTTTTTTTTTTAATGGAACTTTTGATGTTATAGGTGTAGTGTGAGAGGAGCTAGATAGGACACATGCCACAATTATGTAGTCATCTATGGATTTGTTCTGTTATGTCCTACTGTTGTATATATAGTTAATATATGCAGGCCTCAATAAATGCTTCTGACTAGTCAAGTAACTGGCCATAAAAATGATTAGTCTAAGGTCATGGAGACTGAAAGGAAATGGTAATCATCTCAACGTTGTGTTTATCTTGTTTTCTTACATGTTTCTTTTAGCAAACAACTTTGTTCCTTATTAAAGACCATATTCCTAACTGCATAAAAGCTTAATTTCCACTGCACCTAAGAAGGTCTACCCTGAGGATTAAATAATTTCAGAGAGTTTCTAGAGGACTCTGGGCAACTTTTCTAGTTAATATGGCAGGTTCTTCTGTCAAATCTCTGGTCAAGCTATGAAATGCAGAGGTGACCTGGGTGGTTGACATAATCCCTTCTGAGTGCCTTCTCTGTTGCATGCTTGTTTTTTAACCTGAAGGACAAGTTAGACCCATCTAAGGCCTTCCTCAAATATTTGCTGGACACTTCTAGAAAAAGTCCCTTATCATTTGGTGTAGTGGTTAGGAGGGCAGGACTGAGACTCAGGAGATCTGGGTTCTAGCCCCCACTTAGCCATGCCACTAATTAGGGGGCTTTGGGCGAGTCATAGACTTTCAGGCCAACCTACCTCACAGGATTCTTGTTGTGACTGAGAAATGGAGGAGAACTATGTATGCTGCCTTGAAAGGTGGGCTATAAATAAATCTGCTGGGATTTATACTCCAGAGTTATAGCAGTTGAATCAGGTGAGGTACCCAACTCACAGTTAGGTCCAGTTTTATTGGGCAAGTTTCAGTTGCAGATGCCGACAAGGTATTGAACAGGTTCACTTCTGTTCTGGATGCTTGCTCCTCCTGGCTTATAGAAACCTGTAAGGGTAACTGCCTGGGCCTTGGAGCTAATTTATGCCTTCTTTCGAGAGCGAGTATCCCATGCCCCTTGTAAGAGGTGGTGAGAGCACTTCTGAAAAAATCATCCCTCATCCTGGAAGCCCTTAGTAACTTTGGGCTAGCTGAAAATTTCATTTGCTGGACAAGGTTCTTGAGCAGGGGTCCTCAAACTTTTTCAATAGGAGGCCTGTTGAAAGGCTGCTTCTACATGTGTGGGCCAGTGAGGTGCTGTCGGGCGCACGCGAGGCGGCATCAGGCATGCGCGGTGGTGGCTTGCTCACTCAGAGGCCATCTCTGATCTAGTGAGCCACCCCCTCCCCCCCTCCCAGCCCTGTGAGGCAGCAGCGAGTGCGCGCCTACCGGAAAAAAAACAACTCCCCCTCCTCCACTATCAGAAATTTAGAAAAGATCCTCTGTATCAGGTATGATCTTCAGTAAAGCCTTCTTTATCTGCAGTTGAGAGCTGCTTGACCTCTTGAGTTAAAGAAGTTTGTGGATAGGCACATGCACGTGCAAGCACACACACACACTGTGAAAGAGAGAGGGTGGGTTAAACAGAGTGTTAGTAGTGTCATAGACTATTTTTGAAAAATCACTAAATCTTAAAGTAAGCTCATACTTGAATGTTTGTTTAAACTTGCTTTTGTTTAGGCATCATGTTGCGCAGCTCTGGAAATGCCGTTCCCCTCTGATATCCTTCAGGTCATCTTGGATTATATTTACACAGATGAAGCTGTTACAATAAAAGGTGAGGGCACTAACATCTCCAACATTCACAGACTAGGAATGTATAGCTAGAGATATAGATATACAAAGGATCCACATGTACATGTCAGAATCTGGTGGATTTCAGACTATCTTCTCAGTGCTGGTACCAACTTGCTCTGATGCAGTTTGAGCCTGCATGCAGTCTTCTGCCTTTAAAGTGGGCCAGGATTTGCATAGTTTTTAAAGGCAAAGAACTTTGTGCAAAATACAGTTGCAATTTGCACAAATACAGCTACAATTTGTGGAAACCATTTGCGCAAATTGTGGCTGTATATTACACATATTTCCCTGCCTTTAAAAAAGTATGCAAATTGTGGCCCATTTTAAAAGTGGAAGCTTCCTCCTCCTCCCCCAGCCTGTTTTTGGTTCTTGAGTTGGCAAGGTGTACTTGAAGTCTTTTGAGCTTAAGCAGGTTGACTTCTTCAGTGTTGCATTCTATGTATAGCATGCATGGAAATCTGGTGCCTTGAGAAAAACTTGATTAAGAGGGACAAGGGGAAGGATAGGAAAGTAATACTGATAGCTAAAAATCAGCTTAATGAATTTTAAATGCATGGATGGGATAATGGTATGCAAGTCCATTGTAAATGCAGACAAGATTGTAAGAATTGAGGGCTAATACATAGTGGGGGAAGACTGAAGATTGAAAGTGGCATTCTGTCTTTGCCCCATCAAACCAACATGGGAGGGTAGAGGCAGGTACTGGAAGTGGCTAGTGCATTTCATCAAGTGCTTTAAAAAGCCGAGATGAAGAGTAAACAGTATTGTTTTCTTCATTGGAATAGGAAGAGCACCTGTAGGGAGCAACTTGCACATTCCAGTCCAGGAATTTGAAACCATTTAGTGATGAATGTCTTGACTCATGTGGCTTATGTCAGAATGCGATCTTGGCTCAGCTAGTAGACAGACAGTAAATAGAACAAGTTGGAAACTTGATCAAGGAATAATTTTCTTACGATTTTCAGAATATCAAAATGTCGAGTTCATATGCAATGTTCTTGTGGTAGCGGACCAGCTCCTTATGTTGAGACTGAAGGAAATCTGTGAGGTAGCCATTACAGAAAAACGTGAGTAACATTTTGTTTCAGAATGTTGTTGTGTTGTACCTATCTCTGCTAAAATCATGTATTAGCTCACATGAATATCAGGATACAATAATTGTTTCAGAATTTCTATTGTTGCACTGTGCCTATCTTAAAATAAATACTTTCATGTGATTGTTTGTTTTACTTCAGAGAACCCTCCAGGGCTTCCTTAGCAGACAGCTTTCTGAAAGACAGATGGTTCTCCATTATGCATGTAGTTCTACATTATACATGTATTACTCACCTTTCTTTGCAATATACAGCTGTAAGAACACATAGAAGGAATTTCTGGTTGTATTCTTGACTCAAGCAGATCTAAGGCTTCCTGGTACTCAGTACAATCTCAGAATACACACTAGATTAGAACATGCCCCATAACCTTGTGCAATATATAGACGTTTGGATGTAGCTATTTCTTTGTGATTGGGTGCTACTGGCAGTAGATAGGAAATGTCTTGTTTTTCCTTTGTCTTGATTTGTCAGTCTTGCCTTCTAGATGGGTAACTTGCTTTTTTAAAATTTCAGTTACTTTAAAGAATGCTGCTGAGCTTCTGGAGTTCTCAGCCACATATAATGCTGAACAGTTGAAGCAATCTTGCTTACAGTTCATAGTATTAAACATGGCAGCTATCTTTGAAACAAGGTAAGAGCAAACTTTACATGTTCCATTCCTTTCTTAAAACAGGTACAAATAGCACCTGTATGTGTATATGAATAGTTGAGAGTATCCTCAAAGGGGAAACCCACACTCCATGTTTTCAAAAACAGCTTGGGGAGGTGACACATGAACCCTTTAAAATGAAACTGCCTGTATATAAATAGCATTTCTCCCTGAGTTTCTTTCTAAAGAGTGCGTATATCAAATTCTGGAATTTTTTTTCCAAAATGGGATAGAGAAATTTTTTTGTATTGCTTGTACAGTATACCCCCTTGAAGTTGTGGTTCAGTGTTCACGGCTTCAGTCTTTCGTTCTCCAAGCGAGGCCAAACTGATCTCCTTGTGAATAAGCTGGTGCCTTGCTGTGCGGCAGCTTACTCACAAGGAGATCGGTTCCTGTGAGTTTGGACTTGCTCAGAGAAAACGATCTCTGTGCGTGCCCACCCCTGCCCCTGCCTTGCCACGTGTGCGTGCTCACCCCCTGGCCCGGCCCGGCCCGTGCCTCCCACCCCCACTGCCTTGGCGGCCGACGCCCATCGCCAGCACCAAATTTGCGGTTTTTCACAATTTGTGGGTGCTTTAGGAATGTAAAGCCTGCGAATTTCGGGGGACTACTATACTATACTACATTTGATAATCTTTCGTATTTAAGTGTCACAGCACTCTGTGCATCCTTACTTTTCCTCAAGTTGCATGCTCTGACACTTTAGGCCACACACTGTTCTCTGTCTGCTTACTCTGGGTTTTTGTAGCCCCCTCTGCAAATTCTTCTAATAGCTGTAGTTTGACACACTTTGTACCATCTACCTGTCAAGTTCACTTTCTCCTTTGAAAATATCCCTTTGCCTATACAGCCTTTTTTATAGCATCTCCTGCTGTCTGCTTGCTGCCAGATCTTGGGACATGTTATCTGGAAAGCCATTTTGCCATTACTTTATCCTCACACATGAGCTTATACCATTATTCAGTTCTGAAATTGGTGCTAAGCCAACAAATAGCTCATAATACTTGTTTGGATTTTTAGAGGTCTAAGCCCTGTGATTACCCTTATCTGTTTCTATAACTTTAGAATGTTGTTCTCCCAATTCCATTGCAAATTTCAGTACAACTGGACAGAAGTATCACTGAGTCACAATAGAATTGCCAATTAATGTGTGTTTTTCTTAGGGCTCTGGATGTTTTAAGTGATGCTGTTCTGAAGGAACTTTCTATTGCTTATAGGAAAATGGTAGGTTCTGCAATTCATTAGTTAAAACAGGCTACATTTTAAAACAACTTGAATTCTGTAATTACCCACCTGCTTTGGCAATAAGCTATCAGTTTCCTAATTTGATTTGTCTGCTTGTGTATATTTGGTGGATGAAAAACCTCTCACCAATTTACTTTTATTCTTATAGTATTGATATCTCTGTCATGTTTAATTGGTGTTGTGGAAAATGCATTACAGGCTGATCCTATTAAAGTTGCAAATGCCTGTTGAGCCTTGACAGAATAAGCAGCTTCTAAAACTACTCAGCAGACACTAGAGGGGGTCATGCTTTAGTATGAGCAGTGCTGCTTTTAAAAATAGTATGTCAGTGGCATAGCTTATTCCTTCTCCTCATTTCAGTGTAGCATTAAAATGTGATGGCTGTAGAGTTTATTACAAGTGTGCAACTGAACATGGATGAATAAAATAGAATTGGCATATTTTCCCTTTAGTAAGTAAGGCTGTGCATTTACGCCTTTGGGTACAGCTCTGTGAGAAAGCATTATGTAGTACATGTCCCTTAGATTATTGAGTATGGAAAGCTTATCACTCTTTAAAATGTGAATTTTGAAATATCATAACATTTCTAAGATAGATTTAAAAAGAGGAATTTAGGAATTTGTTACTGTTCAGCTTAAAAACAATGTATGATATTATAGATCCCTTCTATGGTCAGAAGAGTAATTACTCCATACCAAGATGGCCCGGATATTAGTTCATTGGAGCCTGAGGAAGGAGAAACCTTTGTCTTCCTGAAAGAAGAGCAAAATACAGAACATGCATCTCAGTAAGAGTTCCTTTTCTTCAGACAGGTTATCTCTAGGTCTCTTAGTTTGGTGTATCATTATTCATGTTTTCAGAGATTCAGAGCAGCAATTCTGTAGCTTTAATGGGGCTGCTATGCAGAACATTTGTAGAATGTCTTTGGTCAGTAATAAACTGTTTGCCCAGTACTTACAGCTAAGGTGTTTTTTTGTTTGGAAAGTGAGAGTGCAAGATATATGAAGGAAGTTCTCTTATGAAAATGTCATGTTTTCTGGGAATTACAACTCTTTACTGTGAATTCCACCAATTCAATTAAAGCAGACAAGAAAAAGTGGAGAAAGGGCATCTCTTAAAACAGGAGTGAGTCTCAGTCCCTATAGCCAGTGGGCTTTGATAACAAGAGTTGGAATTGCCAACAACACCTGGAGGACCAGCATTTGGAATTCTCCAGATGCAGAGTTCTGAAGAATTCTTAGAATAGCAAAGAAGCTTTGCTTCCTATTGTATATTTAAATGTCTAAAGGAGCTTTTAAAGATTAGGGCAGAAAAGAGATGATCCAGATGTTGAAAAAAACTTGATCAGGTGGGGTGAATGTTAAGAAAACTTGACATCTTATATGCTGTCACATTTCCAAAAATGAGTGAAATCTAAATAGATTTTTTTTCTTTTAAACCAGGGAAGCCCTTCTAAAAAAGGCTAAAGCAAAGGCTAAAAAGAAGCCTCGGAGGCGCTCAGACAGCTCAGGAGGTTATAATCTATCAGATATTATACAAAGCCCACCCTCCACAGGTTAGTGGCAAAGAGGTTTTCTGGACAGGCCTGATTTGTTCATTACTTTTCAAGTCGTTTATGCCTAATCTTTGCATGCTCAGAAAAATAGTGTAGCTATTGCTATGATGACTCTCAACTTCTGATTGTTCTTTAATGTGAGAACGCATTCAGGGACCCTTGGACCTCCACATGAGTGAGGTCTAGTTTCATGATGTGTGGGCCTGTTTGTTGTAATATCATAATTATGCAGTTTATGTGGATGTTTTCTTGTGTCTGATTTGGTGATCATGATTGAGTTACCGGTGGCTGTTCCTCCAACATAAACTTCCCCAATCTTGCTGCAAGTTCCCGCAAGCTTTGGGGAAAGCTGGGAAAAGGGGAAAGAGGAGGACAAAGGCTTTCCCACTCTTCAAATAGCCTGTCTGCAGCTGGGGGAGTGCTGGGAGATAAGAACATAAGAAGGGTCAGGCTGGATCAGACCACTGGTCCATCTAGTCCAGCATTCTGTTCACACAGTGGCCAGCCAACTGTATGCAGGATATGGGTGCATCAGCCCCTCCCTCCCAAGTTCTTCTGCTGCTGGTATACATAGGCTGATGGGTAGAGGTAACATGGAGCCATCAGAACTAGTAGCCATTTGATAGCCTTCTGCTTCGTGATGTAATCCAATACGCCTGGAATGTGTCACATTAAAAAGGCTGCTCTAGGGCATCCCCCCTCCCCCACTTGACAGAATGTGTGGTGCACGTATGATTCCCTGTTGCTGTGAGGAGACTTCCATGGTAAGTTATCTTCCTCAAATGCCCAGGTAGGACAGGGATCATGTGCTAAGACGAATGCTTCCTCATGATATTGCACTGCCTTTCTTTTCATCTGTTGCTGTAGACTAGATGTATTTTGCCTAAGCTCTGTGATTGTACTTAAAGGCTGCAAAGGCCTAGTGTTGAAATTGAAAAGGCTTTCCTCTAACCTACTCAGACAGCTGGAAGTGGCTTCATTGTGAAGACAGAATTTGACAAATTGTCCATTTGCTTAAGCAAGACGTTGCACCCCATCTGCTATTTTCTCTCTTTCTCTGGCTATTATACACAAGAGTTTATTGTCAGTAGTGTATGATGAAATATAATTAATTGAGATTTAAAAATACAAAATAGTGCACTGTAGAATAAAAATGTCAAGTGGCTTATATGAAACGATCACAATATAGTGAGGAGACCATCACTTCCAGCACAATGCAGAAATAGCTGCAATAGATCAGAGTGAAAATATAAATGCCCAACTATGTCAGAAGGCTCCATACAGAATGCATGTGCTTCGTTCAGCAAACATGATGTGGGTGAACATAGATGATATGTCTTAAAATGCAAGTTTCTGCATGTTTAAACTGAAAAAGGTTCTACAGCTGTCAACATTTCCCAGTCAGGCATGCCAGCTGGGGAATGCTGGGAGATGTATGAGATTGTGCCCTTAAGTGATTAGATGTGAGAGAATAGCAACTTTGTGGCTTTGTTCCGGCCTAGGTCTATACCCTAGTTAAAATGGTTGTTTATTAAACTGACCATAAGAGTGCTACTGATACAGTATTCCTTCATTTTCTGATTAACCAGAGGAACCCAAGATTTGCAGGCTGGCAGGATAAACTGCATTGTAAATCTAGCCCACAGTCTAGCTCGTATTCACAATTTCCAGTCACATTAGCCGCAGTAGTAATTTTAAACATGTGCTTAAATCTTTTCTGTTGAAATGTCAAGTGGACTTAAAATGCTAACTCTAGCTAGGCCTTGTCTTGAATTTTTAAAGATGTGTCTTCAAGAAAGAAAGATGGAAGGCTCAGTTATCTCTAGCTCAAAATTCCTTTCACAAAAAATATTTAGTATCGCGTGAATAAGAAATATATTCAGCCTAATGTCTTTTGTGATGCTTTTGAAGCATTCATAATACAACTTACAAACTGTGTAAAAACATAACAGTTATCTGGGATGTGAAAAAATGGGGTTGCTGATTAGGGAAAAGAAATTCTGCTGTACTTAGACAACTCTTAGCTGTGAGTTGAAGTGGTCCATGGGCTCTCCCATACCTCACTGCCTCTTTCTTTTGAGGGAGAAATGATTTTGGAGGTTGTTATTAAACTTACAAAATCATTTTTTATTTTTACTTTTTGTATATAGTTCTGTGTTTTAAGAATAAGCATATTACAAGCATATAAGGAGCTTGTGCCCACAGGGGTCCCGTGGCAAGTTGTCTAGTCTGGTCAGCCTGCTCTGCCAGAAGGACTCAAGGGAATGTAGTATTGGTGGCAGCCCATGAGAAGGAACTTGAGCAGAAGACAGAGGAGTTGATGCAAGAAAGAAGCAGGAGGCTCTAGGGGTGGCAACAGGAAGTGCCTTTTCAGCTCCTCCAAGTTTGCCTTTTATTTTACTCTGGTTAATATACTCCCTCTTGTCATTTTTAAAGACCATGTGAAAACACAAAATAAAATAAAAACTGTCATAAAAGGAGTAGTATTAGGACAAATTATAAATAAAATGACAGTAAAATGGAGCATCATAATCAGCTTGGAGGAAATACCAATTCTTAACCAGATGCCTAAGGCTTGAGAGTAGAAGCCAGTCCCAAGAGTACCACAGTTATGTCTCCAGTCTCTCTGGTCATTTCCTGCCTGGTATCAGAAGGTGGATGCACTTGGAGGAAAGTTTCTGAAGAGCATAAGGAATTGGGTGGGGAGGGCAGGGGGCCCTTTTAGCCAATAAAGAGCTAGAATAGTTCCAAACTGTTCTAGGCCTTTGTAGGTTAGAACCAGCACCTTGAATTGTGCTTAGAAATAACTTGGCTTCCAGTGAAGATCTTTTAATGCTTACCAGAGCTGCTTGCATTGATCCTTCAAATTAATCTGGCTGATGTATTCCTTAGCTCACAACTTGGCTGCCCAGCAAAAGCAGCAGCAATTAGGAAAATCAGCACAGGGTGATGGACAGGACGAGCTGGTAGTTCTATTTGTGCCTTCTAGGGGCTAATTAGGGCAATAGGGAACAACTGCAGACACTCCTACTGGCCCCTTTTTTCCAGAAGGTGCAGGTGTGCGATAAAAAGGAAAAATCAGGAGGGGAATTGGCAAACTGACTTGTGTAGTCAGTGATAAGGTAAATAAGTTATCACCTGGGGACAAAGACCAGATCAGAACTGTGTCCTTCTGAAGTCAAGCAGATAGATTTTCAGTGCAGGGTGGCAAACACTCTCTGTCCTCCCTTCCCTTCCCCCAGTTTCTTTGCATTGCAGGAAACAACATTGCTGCCAGAATATGGTATCAATAAATTTTTTTTGCACAAATTAATCATGATCATGACTTCCTTTAATCCTTGCAGGAACATTGAAATTGGATAAAGCAAATTCTATTGAATCGCTCCCTGAAATGCTGATGTCTGATTCCGAAGGTAGCTATGTGGGAGTGAACAGCCCCAGAGATCTGCAGTCTCCTGACTTCACTGCAGGGATCCATGCAGATAAAGTTGAGGTTAGAGCATATTTTACCTTGGTGCTAATTAAACTCAGTTCTAATATTGTTAGAGGCAGATGAATCACAGTCTCTCTTTGCTAGTAGCTGACTTAAAAAGGATGTTTTTCTCTGTTGGTACTAATCTGAGTATTCAGAATTTTGCTGTGGCTTTGTTGGATTACTATGCATTTAATTTTTTATGGAACTGATCATTCAGTAGTAAATATTCAGTAGTTTAGATCACAATTTAAACTACTAGTCCGTAAGACTAGATTTAAATTATGGTTTTATACACCCAAAGGTAGAGAACTTCATTAAAATATTCCCAGTCTGGATCTTTTTTACAGCTTGCTGCCATTATACGTTTGCTTCTCCAGGGAAAGAATAATATGATAAACCTTAGGCCAGGATGGTGAACCTTTTAGAGACCAAGTACCCAAACTACAACCCAAAACCCACTTCTTTATCACAAAGTGCCAACACTACCATAAAACCTGAAAACTGAAGTTTTAGTTTAGAGAAAACAACTCACAGCCAGTCCAAGCAAACACACACACACACACACACACACTTACATACTTGGCAGCGCACTGACTGGCCATGGCAAAGCTCAGACGAGTAGCAGCTAATGAGTCATGGCTTGTGACGTTATCACCTGGCACTTCTACTCCTTTCCGAGCATGCGCATGGTCCCTATATGTGCTGTTATCTGATGTTCGGCCGCTGGGGTGATGCTGGGGTGACTTGGCTCACGTGCTGACAGAGGGAGCTCTGTGTGCCCCCTGTGGCATGCATGCCATAGGTTCACCAGCACTGCCCCAACCCTAATATAGGGGTAAAATACCACTGAAAGGGACGATTTAGAAAAAGCCTTCCTTGAGTAGCTTTTCCTGCACAGCTCCTCATTTCTGCCCATTCTAAGCATATTCCAGCCACCAAAATCATGCCAGGACATCTAGTTTCTCTAACCCTAACCCTAGCCTGGTCCACACCCCTACCCCTAATATAGGGCTAAAGTTCCAATGAAAATAATGCAATTTTTAAAAAGCCTTCCTTGAGTAGCTTTTCCTGCACAGCTCATTTATGCCCATTCCTTACACATTCCAAGCATCAAAACCATAGCAAGACACCTCTTTTTGTAAGCATAACCCAGTGATGATGAACCTTTTAGAGACCGAGTGCCCAAACTGTAACCCAAAACCCACTTATTTATCGCAAACTGTCAATACTGCAATGAAACCTGAAAACTGATGTTAGTTTAGAAAAAACAACTCACAGCCAGTCCATGCAAAATATATATATCCTTGGCAGTGCAGTAACCGGCCATGCGAAAGCTCAGACAAGTAGCGGCTAATGAGTCGTGACTCGTGATGTCATTGCCTGGTTTGCTACTCCTTTCTGAGCATCCTCATGGCCCCTATGTGTGCTGTTATCTGATGCTTGGTTGCTGGGGTGATGCTGGGGTGACTTGGCTCACGTGCCGACAGAGAGGGCTCTGCATGCCTCCTGTGGCGCACGTGCCATAGGTTCCCCATCACTTTCTTAGGCTATGCGCAAAGATCCAAAGACTTGTGCAGTATTCTGTTCACAAAGTTCCACTTTCATTTTCACTGTTGGCCCCTTTCTCTTCACACTTAGCATCTTGTGAAGCATCCTAGCATCTTAGCACTCCCAACAATCTTCTTCTGTGTATTGAATTTTTTGCATCTTGGCACTCAAGAGGTAAAGGGTTGATTCTGTCTACATAGATTTGCAAAGGAACAATGGAATTAAAGTGTTTTTCTCAACACTGTGTGTTTATTTTATAACATTTTTGTTGTGAAGAAGAGGCATGCAATCTGTGCAGACAGAAATTCACAGTTTGGAGAACTGTAAAACCAAGCATCTCTGATAATATCTTCTAGACAGAAATATTGGCCCATAATTTTACAGAAACTTCTGGAAGAGCCTGACATTGTGAATGGAATAATGGAATTCATTCACGAAAAAACATTGCATTAATATACAGCCTTATTCTACATAATTAAAAACTAATCCTTATTTCATTATGAGTAAATGTATCTATTGGATTATAATGTATCTAAAATGGAAAAGTATATTTAGACAGATTTTTCTTCAAAAAGTATTTTCTTTTTTTAAAGTCCAATTTAAATCAGAAAATCCAATTTTTTATTTTTAAATCATTTATTTTTATCCACCCTGAACTGCTGCATTCTGGTCTCTGAACTTATACAACCTACAATTTTCCATATTTAGTACATTTATATCCTGCTTTTCTGAAAGATCTTTACAGAGTGATATACAAACAATGAAGGGGTTGTTCACGAGCACAGATAAATATACACAAACAGAACTTTTAAAAATTAGAAATTAAGCCAAGTATGAGGTTGAGAGTGAAACATTTATATCATCTACCTACTCAGGCCAGCCTGAATGAGCACAAATTTTAAGGCTTTCTTAAAGATGCACAAACAGAACTCTTAATGATAATCAAAATTATGGATAGTATTGCATGGGATAGTGAGTTACTTCGGGTAACCTGGACCCACACTGTTTAAATAACCTGCACTTCAAAATCAGTCCAGAAATTCATTGGCAACCTGTGCCAAAGAGCTGACACATGCTTAGATACTCTGATCCAGGTTAGCATTCTGTTGCCTGCAGTTTACAATTGGAGTTTCTGAGCTGGATTTGTGAGACAACGCAATGTAAAGTGCATTAAAATAAGCCAGCTTAGAGTTAACAAGGGAGTGGGTTACTTTGGCCAAGTCCAGCATTTCTAAAAAGGGCTGCAGCTGGTCTATCATCCTCACTTGATGAAAGGCCTGCCTTCTCTCTGCAACCAGCTGGGCTTTACCAGGTAATTACAAATCCAAGAGAACCTCCAAACTGTACCCCTGATCCTTCAAGAGAAGCACAGCTCCATCTAGCATGGGCTTGATGCCACCATCTAGGACAGCCATCTGCCCAATCTACAAAACTGTCATGTTTATCCAGGCTGTTTTTCCATTTATGTTTGTGTAACTTCAAATGACTTATACACTGTGATTTTACTTTATCTAGTTAAAATATACTGGGTACACTAATCTAAGGAAACTTCTGGAAGAACATTGTGTTGATGAATGCCAGTGATTTTTCAATTCCCATATAAAGAGAGAACTTTGCATATGACTACAAATGATGTAACATGGAGTTGTTAAAGTCCAGAGACTCATCTAAACAATTATGGATTTAGATGTTTTAACACCCAAATATCCCCCACCCACCCCATGTTGCATGATGAACAATTTCTTAAAAACTGAGGGTGTTAAAAGCCATGCAGTGTGACATCTTGGCCATTCCTGGGGTAGCTGTTTAGATCCTAGCCAGTATAGTTTAAATGCAGTATTTCTTTTTGGGTCTGTAAGTGTTGGTGACCATTTTTTGATACAAGGTAACCTCACTGTGCTTTGGTTTCAGGTGAAAAGTGTTTCCAGTGCAGCTCTTCCGCAGTCTAATAAAGAGGTGAAAATATGTGAGGGAAGATCAGTGCAAAATCTCTCTCTTCCACATTGCATTCCTAATAACAAAAACACCTCTGCAGGTTCTTCCAACTGGGTTATTGGCTCTTTCAGGTATGTAGACTCTTTGTTCCCATGTTTGTCTGGTGCTGCACTCTTACTACAGCTTATGTGGTGTGCCTTTGGAATGTGAACTTCCTTCCAGACTAAAAGCATTCTCTCTATATGAGCAGCTGTTAACATGTTTCCTGAGGAATCAAGTGGCCAAGTTATTTTGTGGTAGTTGTGAACATTGTGCCAAAAGCAGTTATGTGACTCTCTGGTGAGATTGCTAATTCCCCCCTTTTCCATGGGAATTATTACAAGCCTAACTGTGTACTGACAGCAGCCTAAACTTTCTGTAAGGATCTAATTCACAGTAGGTTTTTAAAGAAAAATAACCAAACTTCATGTTAACTAAAATGCTGGGTTTTAAGTACTTTGTTCAGTCTTCTCAGTAGACCTAAAAGTGTCCTTGGTGTATGTGTTTCCTGAAGAATATATATAAAATGTTTGTCTGAAAACATTCTATTTGAGGTTTGCCATAATTGAGGAAATAGACATAAATTATACATCCGGTTACAAAATGTATGCAAGATAAAGAAGACTTCAGTAGTGGTTGCATCTGGAATATAAGTAAATATGGATGTCTTGAAAAGTAACAACTTATTATTCCTTTCATTCAGTCCTGCCAGTCCTCCTGCTATGGATCTGAGAACTATTATGGAAATTGAAGAAAACATGCAAAAATGTGGAAGCATGCCCAAGATAAATTCGGGGTTGGTAAAAAAAAAAAAAACCAAGGATTTAATTCAATAAATTATAAGATTCACTTGTGGTAATGCAAATCATATTAAAGGCTTAATCACTTTGTAGCTTTATAACCTTGTACAGCCTTTTATTTTTTATTTTGGAAACAGTTGCTTGTGTTTTGAGACCAGCTCTGGTTGATCTTGCAGCGCTAGTGGTGATGAGATAGTACTCTACTTGTGTTGTCTCATAATCACTATCAATTATTTTTATGTGTACATCAGGAATATAATTTGAAGGGGTTTTTTTTGCTGTTCCTGTTACTCAAATTATAAATTTGAAGAATAAGTCATACTTTTACTTTTTTCTCTATATTTGTAAATCTCTGAGACATGTAATCCAACAGTGTGTTTGTTGATTGATTGATTGATTGATTGATTACATGTCTATACCACCCCCTAGCTCTAGCCCATTGGGCTCTCTAGGTGGTTTATGACATTTAAAAGACACATAAAATAATAAATGATCGTATTTAAATAAGCAATAGACAAAGAACAATAAAACAAATACAGCAAAAAAAAAATCACCCATGACAACTGTAATAAAATTAAAATATGGTATAACAGCAGTAAAAACACAATTGAAACAAATGTTACCTATAAAAATATCTGGAAAATAAAAGTTGTACAACTTGTATTCTGTTTGGCAAACTACGTCATATTTCTGTTTTTTCTTTAAATTTTCTAGTAGACCTGCTTCTCATGGAAATAAGCTTTCTCAGAAGCAAAGGAAACTGATTGCGATGGCTGCCAAGGAGAACAGTCCAGAGATTGTGCCAGATGCAGTCATGCTGCCTGTGCCCTCCAAATCTGGCCATGTGTGGTACGCCATTTTGTTATGCCTTTACTCTAAAGTATATTGGGAGTGATGTAGAATTTTACAGCAAATTTTGTTTCATCCTATGCAGATTAAGTCATAGTTGTTTCCACAGCAAGGGATGATAATACGTGCTTTGCTTGTAAAAGGTGCTGGTTCGGCCCTTGGTGTCTCCAGGAATGGCTGGAAAAGGCTTCTCTTTGCCATCCCAATCAGTATGTAGAGTGCTAAGCTAGATAGACCCCATGTTCCAAGGCAGCTTGCTACGTTCATGTGATTGGAGCCCTGGAATTTGGATATGGCAGTAGCTTAGAAAATGGGGCATTTGGCCAATAAGATCAGATCTCTGTGCTCTGTTAGTCAGCACTTGGTGTGTCACTGGGTAACAGTTCTGAGATCACAGGACCAAGGCACTTGAAGAATGAATACAAAATTAGTATGTAAAACATAGAACAGCCAAAAGCCATCAACAGGATTTGAAAAGTATGATAGGATACAGCCATATTCTTAAAGGCCATAGAAATATCCTGAAGTGAACATGGAGCCTTGTACATGCTAAACAGGGGACTTTTTCTATTTAAAGTATTCCAGAGATACTTTAACTAGAAGTATCTCTCAAGTATCTTGAAGGAACCGGGACATCTTTTCCTAGCTAATGGGTTTGTGTTCTGCAAGGAACTCAGCATGCAAGAAATTTCCCCCACTCGGTCATCTCAACAACCTTTCCAAGTCATAAGGCTGGAAGATGATGGTGCAGCCTTAGTTCAGCTAGTGAGCAGCTTTGTTGCTGCTCCTGTTATCCAAATTATCGATACTCAAAGTGTTAGAAGAAGTGTTAGTAGAAGTGTTAGCCTGCTGGAAATTACCTGAATTCATAGCTGAACAGAAATTTCAGCCTTTTGAAAATCCTGCTTTCTGCCATAAAAAATAAAAATGAATGCTGCTGGTTGAGACCAAAGATGCAAATAGTTCAGCATATTATTCCTGCAGAGGCCAGCCAGATGCCCAGAAGTAGGGCAGAGATGGAGAAAACTTTTCCCTGTTCACTTTCTTCATACCATATATAATTTGTTGAACTACTTAGAACTGTTTTTCTAAGCTGAAAAAATCCAAACATGGTAATCTTTGTGCATCATCTTTGTTGCTTCAGTTCCTCAATCATTTGTGTTGCTCTTTTCAGCACCTTCTGTAATGCTTTTTATGCCGTCCTTTTTATGGTCTGATGCCCATAACAGTACACAGCCTTCCAAGAATGGATGCACTATAGATTTGCATTAAAGCATTGTGATGTTGGCAGTTTCATTCTTTATTCCTTTTCTAAGGATTCCTTATTGATTTTACACCTGCTACACACTGAGTTGATGTTTCGATCAAGCTATCCATAGCTACCCTAAGATGACTTTCCTGGTCAGCCATTGCTAGTTCAAACCACCATCAATGTATGTGTAAAGTCCATCATGGTACTTCAGCTATGGAAAGAGTTTTAGTCTAATGTTCACATGGGCAAAGATGATAATAACTTCCTTCACAAAATTCCTCTGGCTTCAAAAGTGGAAAATAGCAACAACCTCAAATGTTCTAAAGAGGCAATAAGTGTGAAATGTATAGTCTAGCACTCACACACATACCTGGCACCTTAGGTAATTTAATTTATTTTAACAATTGAGGTTCCCATATGACTTCCCTGACTACAGCTGGCTTGATTACAATTCTTTATTTACAAACAAGATTTTCATTAAGTACATGACGTATTCTTGATAACTAGTTAAGAGTAAGAGAAAAACTTCTACTTGTCTAAGCATGTTGAATTATGGTATGACCCCAACACTTAAAAAGTCTAAAATGAACTCTTATGCATGTATTTGGCATCAGATTGAGGTTTCCATGCTTGCAGTATGTGGCATTCTCCAGAACTTTTGTTTTGCAGTGAAATGAGATACTTGTCTTGGAAATTCAGCAGCTCTCCTGGCAAGACAATATGCCAGATGGGTGTGGGACCTTCTGGAACCTTTTTGGTTGACATGGAGATTCAATATATCTTAAACCATACTTGCCTCTTTCTTGCCAAAAGAAACCTCCAGTTTCACAGTTTGTGAGAATTAAGGCTATGTCGTGCTCTTTGAAGATTAATTAAGAACAATAAACGCAATATTGAGATAATTTTAAAATGAAATATACTGAGAAGTGGAGAAAGAATAACCAAATGTGGGTGAACTCCCCCCCCCCCAAAAAAAAGCTTAGGTCGATATAGTTTTCAAAGTGGACTTACTAAATGTATAGTAATTATTTAAGTTGGGGAGTGGTAGTGATTTCTTTGCTGAAGGATGCAGCTTCCTTCTCTTCTGACAGGACAGAACACACCATTTTTTCCTGAGTGCCTAGGTATGAACATGTCAATTAACAGAGTCAAATTCTTACAAATGGGGCATATTTAGCAACTTGTGCCTAAGGCATGTGGTGGATTTTGCTGTAAAGCATATTGCCTTGAATAAGCTTTTACATGAATAAGCTTGGGCTGTCCAGATATGTTGGAGGTTTTATTTATTTATTTATTTATTAAAACGTTTCTATGCCGCCCCTTGCCGAAGCCTCGGGGCGGCTCACAACACAAAATAAAATACAATAAAATACAAAAATAACAATATAAAATTAGCAATATAAAATAAATAACAATATAAAAGGTATCAACATTGTTAGGCTATTTCTGCACCTAGAAGTCTGAAAAGTTTGGGTACCTTTGTCAAAGAGAACCCAGTTTGAAGAAAAGTTTAAAAATTGCTCCTGCTGCTCCTACTACTACATTAAATTTATATCCGACTGTTTTTCCTTTTGTGAGGAACCAAGGTGACCTGTATAGCTCCATTTTATCCTTACAACAACAACCTGGTGAGGACTGGCCCAAAGTCACGCAGTGAGCTTCATGGCTGAGTGAAAGTCCCCTGTACAACACCTTCACCACCATATCATATCATACTTGGCAGGGGAATCTTTGCTTGAAAATGAAAATTGGAGTTTTGCCATCTCCAACAGAGCTTAGAACATGAGACCTGCTAATGGAAGTTGTGCTCGAGGTGTGTCACCTGAGGCTTTTTCTGTGGATCACCTTCTCCATACATGCACACCTTTTGTTGGACCTTTCCATACTTGAAGCAGCATCTATTTCAAGATGGATAGAAAAATTGTAGCTCTTAAGAATTTGCAGGCAAGCTGTATTGACTAGCATGTAACCCAGCTCAGAAAGTGGAGTTAAAACAAGCCATGCTTATCTTCTCCACCATCTAATGCATACCCAAATGAAAAAAGATAGACTTCCTTTGTAATCAGCTCAGGCATTAAGGTAAGATGTTTTGGAGCTGGCAAATAGTTTTGGATAATGGTTTTTGGTGCAGTGTAGATTTTTCTTTTGCCAACAGCTTTTTATGGTGGTGGTGGTGGTGTTAAACACTTGCAAGTGGATTCTGATGGATTCACACTGATTGGATGATTTGGAAAAAGCCGGATCTTCTTATGACCCATACAAAGGCTGCCTGTGTCAAACTGGATCCAGATTTGAAACCCTGAAGCTTCATGCATCCCTTTGAGTGTCATGGGAAACCAACAAACACCCTTCTGTTCTTTGGCACAACTGGATGCAATGCGCAAACATGATTCCCTTTGTTAGAGTAGGAAAACTACCAGATTTCAGACAAATCAATGTTGGGAGCTGTTTGCTAGATGCTTTTTATTTTTGTACCACACTAACATAACATTTTTATTTCTTGGCTGAATTAGATGAACATTATATGTGTGGCTCCACCTTCTCGGGGAATGAAGCCTGCCAAACTACAGTTATATGTGGGGGTGGTGTGGGGGTTGTACGAGTTTGTATGAAAACAACATGCACCATAGAGGTATGCCTTGATATGAAACGGCAGAATTTCAGGACCGATGCAGTGCTATGTGGTTACATGTAATACAAAACAGTTTTGAGGAGGTTTTTTGTTGTTGTTTCTGATCGGTTGGTACCAGTGTCACAGTGCAGTAGGACAGGGGTGAATAATTAATGTGGGGCATACAGTGACAGAGTCAGAAGGACTTAACATTTATGCTTCAGCTTCAGCAGCCCTGTGTGAAAGTCCTGGGATTAGAGAACCCTGCTAAAACCATCCATTGTGATTCAAAGACAGAGCTGCCAGTCACAAAGCTACAGCCTTCTCTTCCCTGTCCCCATAGTGTAATTTTCTTAATTGGAGAGCTTGGCAAGAAATGAATCTGTGTTGGCAGACGCACTGTCTAGGTCTCTGTTTGCCTTCAAATTGCTAGAAAAGCTTTCTGAGGATTCAGATTTGGATTTGGTTCTCTTTGGAAAAGACCTACTTCATTTACCCTACTTCATATCCTGACTCTTTCTGAATCAGCCCACTTCCAATTTCAGTGTAATTTGAAGTGCACCGATAGTTTTTATGGATGCTAGTTGTGTACTGATGAAACTGTTGAATTAAGTCAGCCCACTGATCCATCAGCTCTAGTTCTCTCAGTTTCATTGGCCAGGGGCTCTTTTCCATCTGAGATCTTTCACAGTCTTCCCATCTAAGATCAGCAGAATAGTCAGCCTACCCGAAGGGAGGTTTAGTGAATTCCCCTAACCAAAAATAGTACTTTTACATTAAAGACAAAAACTGGGTTCTGAAGCTCATTCTGAGAATAATAAGAAATTATCCAAACAGTATTAAATAATGCTCTGAAAGGATGTGGTCATTGGACAAGAAATGGCAAGTAAGACTCTGTGTGGATAAACTTAGAGTGATAGTTTCCCTATAGCCTGAAGGGCCTGATCCTGCCTAATCTGGGAAGCTAAGCAGGGCCAGGCCTGTTTGGAATCTGGATGGGTAACATAAACTGTTGTGAACTGCCCACAGAGCTTTGGTTACAGGTAATATAGAAATGTAATGCAGTAGTAGCAGCAGCAGTAATAGTAATATTTTGCTGCTTAAGAGAGTTGGTAGATAGTTAAATCTTTTCTTTTCCCATGGCTTAGAGATGTAGGCACCATTGTGGGCACACACAAGCATAATGTTAGGACTAACAGGAGGAGAAGAAAGTGGAGCTTTAAAAATGGTAGATCACAATAATGGGTTAAGAAGGGAGATTCTGATTTGCTTGATGCACGTCATCCAGTAGGTCAGTGATTTTCAAGCAAGAGCTAATTTGGCTGTAAGTTTTGTCACCGAGGTTAGGACACGGGGTGGAAATAGTCTTTCCCAGTCTCATGCATGCAACTGGCATCTCCACTTTCCCCCAGTCAAGCTTCATTCAACTAGAAGCCTTTTCAGGCTTCTCCTCCCCTGACTTTGTTCAAGCAAAGCCTCATTAGTTGGCCACCAAGTAACACTAGTTCTGATGGGTTTACCTAGTCTTCGGATTGGGATGGATTCTGCCCCCACCCCCACTGAGAGGGTCCTGCCACCTTCAGTGCTGCAGACTCTCCCAGCACTGGCCCACATTGCACTCTCCCCTGTACATGCGGCTTCATCTCGGTGCTTGCACAGCATACCTGCAGTTGCATTGCTGTTTGCCTGCCACGCTCTTCCTTGTCCACAGCTAATTGGCTGGTTGATCCTGTGTTGTCCCCGCTGGTTAAGAGTCCTGGGGACTCCTCAACACTGAAACTTCCTGTGGTTGTACAGATCACAGCAGTCAGCCCATCGCTAAGACAAATGGCAATGTAAAGATATAGGGTGCAGCAAAGGGAGGTGATGAAAGGTCAGCAGTGGCCCTTGGGCCTTGCAGTGAAAACACTGTAATGGTTGCTTGTGAATTCAGCTCCTTGTTAAGGAGCCACACATATGCCACACTATCACGCTTACTAGAATAATTGTTTCGTACTTTATTTAGCAGCAGCAGTAATGGCTGCGTTGGACAAGATGAATGTACTTAATTTAAGCAAGAAGAGTTCCAGCTCTTCATTCTAACCAACCACCTAGTCAGGGCCTTCCATTCATTCAGTGTGCAAGATAAGCAGGAGGTAAATGTTGCTCCAGCCATCATAATCTAGAAGAACTGTAATGAAGGTCCATATTGCCAAATGGCTGATATTCACCAACATAGAAGATGGATTTGTCTCTGTAAAAATCTGTGGAAAACAGCAAATATTAATCAGTTAATAAGTTTTTAGTCCATTGTGGTAAAATAATTTCCAAAGAGAAAAATCCACAGATATCTGGAATCAGGTTCATTCTACTTTTGTTTAGTAAAACTCAAATAGGATATTGTGTGGCATTACTATAAGCATTCGAGTCAGTTTTCCTCTTTTCTCTTAAAGGGCTTCTTCATCACATTCTAGTACACCAAAGTCATTCCGTGATCTCCTACTGGAAGAAAAAAAGATAGTTGGTGCCCATTCTGGTAAAGTTTGTGCAAAATTGATGGAAAGTGTATCAGCTCAGAAAATTCTGAGGTAAGAGATGAAATTTTATGTCCCGTTTTAACTGAATGCTTTTCAGATGAGCATTGAAAGCATGTCCAGGTATAAAGCTAAGCATCTAAATGTACAACAACTTAGTTTAGTTGACATTTTTTCTGTTAGGCAGTACAGCTTTAAAACAACTGTACAGCTGATAAATGAAAGCTCATTTACAGTGTTTCCATGGAGTATTACAGGGAGTCTAATAATTTGATGACTTAGATTCTTAGAAGCACTTTGAGTGACACATGCATGGTCCTTCGGGTTTGCACAGCAATCTATTCATGTAAATGAAGGATTCAACAATTTATTTATATCCAGTTGTATAGTGCATTTTCTAAGTGGCATTTCAGTTCATCCAGCACTTACAAAAATATGCACAGTTTATTTGGGGAACATTTAGTACTCCAAGCCATTTTCCAGCTTATTCTTAGGCAGTAAAAATGTCCCATAAAGGAGAATGCGTCTGTGGTACGAGAGAAAGTGTTTCACAATACTCAGGCACCCATAGCCAGGAAACATGCTTTCACAGGAAGTGCACCTTTTCTGTTCCATAAATGTTTGCCCCTCCCTGCTGCAAATAGATTAACACAGTATCTTTTCTTTGCAAAACTGTTGCTATTATTTTCAATTTGAAACTGCTAATTTATGTTTTAAACTCAGAATATTGGAAAATACCACAAACTGTTAGGTAAGCCTTTATTACTAAGCACTAACATTTTCAGAGTTGGGGGTACTTTCCCGCCTCCCAGTTAGCATATTTCTTGGCCCTTACCTGTGTTTTCCAAAAAAGAAAATGGTTAGAGGCATGCTGCTAAAATTGGGGATTAAGACAGGTGAAAGTAGTCAACAACATACCTTCTAGGTATAGTTCTGTGAAAACTGCCTTTGGAGGAGCCCTTTAAGCTCAGCCATTGTAGCAGGTTAAACACACACACATAAAACACCAAGTCTGCCCCATTACACCAGAAGAGTGAAGTGACTGCCAAGCCCACTCCTATTCTTTCCATACATAAATCAAAACATCCGAATTGGTTGTTTTATCAAAAAGGTAAGGTGGATGTACTACTCATGAATTAAATTGGAACAAATTCCAGTCCAAATGTGATTCACTGAAATACTATTCCATTGATGTGCGTTCTTTATTAGACTCTCAAAGCAACAGTGGCTGTTAAGGGAATTGCTGTAAAATGCTGGGTGGAGCATGTCTTGCTATTGGAGTGTATAAATAATATACACTCTTACTATTCATTTTGTGAAAGGGAGAATTGCATTCAGCAAAGTGGGTTCAGCTTCATGTCTGCTGATGGCATGTTTACATCCTTAGAATATATCTTTATTAACTATTATTAGTTATTAATTAGCCCATTATGTTTTGTTTGTAGATGTTCTACTGCCACTGCTCTTGAGGCAGAAAATGAACATATTTGTGAACCGGCACACTCAGAAAATCAGAAGTAAGTTGTATTTGTAATTAAAAGTAGTGAAAGAGAAACGCATTGTGCAATGTGGAGATGCTTCACATTCATAATTTACCTTACAGTCCTTGGTTACCAGCATCCTTGATGTGTCCGGCTGCAGCAACACCCATCACATTTGCAGAAATTGTAGAAGAGGAACTCCAGCAAGAAGCTGCTCTTGTTCGGAGTAGAGAGAAACCTTTAGCTTTGATCCAGGTACCCAGTGCTGTTCAGTACAGTCACTTCAGAGTTGCCATTGCATGCATTCTTTTAATTTTCCTAAGTACATTTTCCTCCTTTGGGCCCCCCTAAAGCAACTTACTTTTTAAAAAATGAAGTTCAGTGAAATGATCTGCTTGGTATTTTAGGCCATGATGTGTTAATTCATTTGCCTTCAAGTTAAGCGTTTTCTTAAATAGTTTACTCTAAGCAGGCATTATATTTTTAGCACATAACTAAGCCTTAGTTCAAGAGAAGTTGTATTTATGGCCTCTGTAACTGCAGAATCCTTTGGGAACATGGACTTTTAAGCAAGGAGCTTGGTTATTGCTGTGTCCTGCCATGAGACATGCACATATTTTAAAAGTAAAACTGCCATTATTCTGTGCCGCCATTCATCCTCCTTGGTTCCTGCTGGATTTCAAAGAGCATTTCCCTCCTTTCTCATTTCAGATCGAAGAACGTGCTATTCAGGATCTGTTAATCCACTATCAAGCAGTTGGCAACCCTGATGAATTTATTGTTGTTGAAAGGTCTCCACAGGGGCCGATAGCAGCTCCTATGTGGAACAAGCATTGATGCAGACTAATTTTGGATTTTATGAAGATGTGTGCGTTTCAAAAATATGGCCTATTTGTTGTTTGCATGGATCTGGCAGTTTAAAATAAGAATGTGGTATAGTGGTGTGTTTTCTCTTTTTTTTTCAGCATAGTACTGGTTTTGCAAATACATCTCCTTACTAAGTTGCATTATTAGGCAAGGCACATTTGAGAAAGGTAGAACTGGAGACTTACATATGCTGAAGGCTAAGTTTTAAGTGAGCATACAGGTGTTTCCTATAGTAATTAGCAAAAGGTACCAAATGTGCTGTTGCTTCTCCAGTTAATCAGAACTGATCTTTCATAATCATGCAACCATGTTAAATTACTCAGATTGAATTTCAACCAGAATATCAGAAATCAAGATTTTCTAAAAAGAAATATATATAGCTTTTGCGTGTCACAACAGAGACAACAATGCTGTTGTTGCTTTACTGCTTATTCAAGCAATGATGTTTAATGTCTGGTATGCTTGTGTTTCCTTTGTACTCTTCTCAACAATACTCCTAACCATCATGTCTTACACAGGTGGTGAGCCTGATGCTAGATGGACATTTTGTACTGGTATTTGCTTTATTAGAAGGGCAGCCTCAGAAGAGCCTCAACTCCTAAAAAAGCAAATAGAAAGGAGTGGCACTTTTAGCTGGTGTGGAGAAAAATGGAGTGGGGCAAAAACAGCTTGCTAGACTGAAAAATGTTTCTGCAAATGAGCAAACTATTCATTCAACATTAAAACTACTCAAGAGATGACAATTGCATTTTGATAATTTGCACCTGTAACCGATGCATTGATACTGTTTAGTATTGTATTATTGGAAGCCAATGCCTGATTGTGGGTAATTTTGTTGTTGGAAAGTCTTTTAAAAGATTGTTTGATAACTCTAGAAAATAACGTGGTGCTGGTCTGATGAGGTCTTTGGGGGTAAGGGAGTGAGGGAGGAGTGTCACTTATCTGTCATCTCAGCCTTTATCAGTGGTGAGCTGTCTGGCACTACTGTGATTTACCCCATTGAACATTCTTGGCATTGTGAGGTAATAAACTTTGTTCTGCCGCATAGCTTGGGCTTGAACCCAATAATTACTCTGTTAGTGGAACTGCAGTGAAGAGCAAGATGTTGGAGCAGCACACGTTACCACAGAATAAAAACTGGATTCATGTGTTGTTTTTGTGTGTCTTGATATTTCATTTTGGATGGGGAGCAAGAACAAGCAACTGAGACAGCAACTTTCACATGTATTCTCTCATAAATCATAGGCTGATAGACAGGCCTATACATATCCTGTGATTCTGCAGGAATATGGAGAAGGTGCATAAAATGTGGGACTGGAAAGCAAAGTTGAGTTTCTAGAGAATGTTAACTTTCATGGTCAGATTCAGCTACATACTGTGGTGCTAATTCTCTTTGTCTCTTTTGAAAAACATGAATGCTTATCCCAGTGTGAAAAATCAGCAACAGGAGTGTCAAGAAAAGAGAGCGCTCCCATCTCTTGTTTAAGGTTCAGGGCTTGCTCCCCCCCCCCAAATATGCAGTTTACCTGTGATAATTATAAGGTAGTTACAGAGTGAATCAGCACTCTTCTAACTGTTAACCTGCTGCTTGTCTGAACTTTTTGCAAGGGGAAAAAATCAATTTCTACGTTGTTTTGATGTAAGCAAATACTGGGTCTGGAAGTCTGAAAAGTAGAATGTATAAATCTATTATGTATTTAGGGATTGCGTGGCATACCTGCAGGAGTGCTGTTTGCTATTCTTTCTGTGTAGCTAGTTTAAATGCACATTTCCAGGGTCTCTCCAGTAAATATAGGATTCTATAAGTGTATAATTTGAGAAATTTATATTGTATGTATTAAGTTTTTTGAGGCTTGCAAACTTTGCAAGTCTCCCACATCTTCCTTTATGTTACCAAAAATCTCCTTATCAATTAACAAAATTCTCTGCAGTAAGGTGATATTCCCCTTCCCTCCCCACATGCATCTATTAATATATAGGACCATTTTTTAAAATGTCTTGTTGTGGTCTTACAGTGAAACTAAAATATACCATAAATGTAACTTAAAGTAATAAATTTACAATATCGTATATATGCAAAAACATCAAGTTTCTAGCAGACAGGAATCATTTTTGATAGTGCTGGATTTAGGTCAATCAGCAGAGACCCACTGAACTTGAATTTCCTCCCTTGAGTTTCCTCCCTTGAGTGCTTGAGTTTCTGCAACAGTTAGAAAATAAACACAGCACATTTCTTTTAAAGAGAAGCAGAAAATGCACTGTCAGAAAGCAGGTTTCTGAAGGAAAAGATCACTTCTCGTAGGTTGGGACCTGCTGAGGTTGGGGTTTTTGGATGGACTATGTAGGGACCTCCAGAATGCCTCTAGTGAAGTATGGAAATGGTGCACATAAGCAGTGAAGGGTGGTGTGAATTCTCCTTGATGGAATCCCTGAGAAAAGTGGGCTCAGTATTGTGCATTTCTCTTGAAGCATGAGTAAGATTGGCTTCTTGGCCTTTTATTTAGATCCTGAGGATTCCCAATGCTTGTTTTAAGCTCTAAATATATTTATGGTAGAAGTAATTTAAAGTACCAGCAAAATAGTGGAAATGAAGAAGGAAACAAAATGGTTATCAAAATCTGGAGACCATCATATGATGTGTGAATCCACCTTCGGTATTAACCATAATTCAAAGGTGACCCCATAGTCATCTTTTTACAGGTGAATCCACCCCAGATTTTTTTAAAGAGTTCCAAATTCTATAAAAACTGAAATACTGAATTCTGCATAAAACATGCAAAATCTGAATGAATATCCATAAAAGGATATCTCCATGTGTATATTGGGGTTTTTCCCCCTGATGTGTTCTGAGTAAAATTTCTATGTCACAAAAAGTATAATGTGAAGCAAATTTATGGTTCAGTGTTTTACTTTAGTAAATGTCAAATCCTGTAATTTAATGCTCTCTTACCTGAGTTTTTAAAAAGCTGATTTTTGTTTACGTACTGGAAAGAAGTTTTAGCAACTTGCCTAAATTGAGTTAAAGTCCTTTTTTGGAGTGGAGAGAAATTTTCTTCATAAAATAGGATTTGTAACTTTAAGCTTATTATAATCATATGTATAAACTAGAACTGATAAGCCAACATTTCAGTTATATGTATAATTCTAGTGGATTAAACTTTGAAAGTTATGTACTCAGAATTCCAAAGAACTATACTTTGTCTTTATCATCTCTGGCAGTATTGCAAATTCAAGGGAGGCTTTTCAAACAGCACTGTATCATGACTTAAACAGACATCATGTGGTAGATACTGCTGTTATCAAAATCTGGAGATTTCTATTTTCTTTCCCCTCCCCTGTTCCCTGAAGTAAATTCATCTCCTAGCTCTGTTCATAATCAAACCTCATCATCCCACTGGTCTACATGATTATCATTCAAAATCATTTTGCTTTAATAACATATATATTCTGCATTACATGTGTTTAGTCCTTGCTGTTTACAGCATAATCAGGTTAGTATTTGTCATGACAAGTTTTATCTGTTGCTATTTTTTCCGACCCTAGACTAACAAGACAGAGAGCCAGTGTGGTGCAGTGGTGTTGAAGAGTGCAGGACTGGGACGTAGGCTGAGCAGGAACTAGATCTGGGTTCTAGTCCCTGCTCAGCCATGGAACTCACTGGGTGACTTTGAGCCAGTCACAGAGTCTCAGCCCAGCCTACCTCGCAGGGTTGTTTTGTGAGGATAAGACTTCGAGGAAGAAGAGAATTTTGCAAGCTGCCTTGAATTCCTTGGCAGGAAAAAAGGCAGGATATAAATACAAGCAATATTATCAAAAATACTAAAGCTAGAAAAAGCTTTTAATGTATAGTAAATGGTATATATAAAATGGGTGGTTGTGTTTGCTTGAACAAGCTCAACCTATTTCATTCTGTTGATCTGCTTCCACAGATTGATTATTTTTAATTGAAGCATTTACTGTATGAAAATTCAGAGCAGCCTAACCCACTAATCACAAAATCCAATACTACTGTGGTATTTTTGCACCTACAACTTGGTGCTTGTAATCTCCTGGATTATATTGTCAAAAGTTAACCTGTCATAAACATTCCTTTTGCTCTGTTTGATGCAGATGTCCTGTGCTGAGGAAGACCCAAGATGTGCTGAATAATGCTTAAAATGTCCTGCAGGTTTTTAAATATTAAATACCCATTGGATTCCAAGCACATTAACCCCTGCTGAGGGGCAAATTCAGCCATGCAAATAGCAGTGTTGAAAGATTCCTGCCAATTTCATTGGGAGAGAAATGGTCATCTTGCACCTTTGCTACCAGTCTTGACATGGGACTACCTTCTGGAGCCGGGTCCCCTATAAGCATGGGGGGTTGGGGGGGTAGTAATCAGATTCAGATGAATGAAGCATCCGAGTGGATTGATTCAGAAGGTGATTTGATTTGCAGCAAGACTTCTTCAAGGCAGGCTGCATTTGAGCCCTCTGGAAGCCTTGCTAGTGATTGAGAAGGACTCTGTAAGAAGTGTTGGGGTAAGGAGAGGGAGCAGCTTCTGTAGCTTCTAATCCCTAAATGGTTTAACCCAAGCCTTCTGCTCCCCTTCGTTTCTGGAAATGTTTTTTAACAAAAGACATGGACGAGATAGCCATAGACATCATAATCTGTACTTCTGCACATCACATGCAGATTTGTCCACTCCATAATCCCCCATGACTCAGTTTAAATCATGAACCCTATAGATATCCCCTAGAAGTTGCATTATCTGGTCCTTCCAGGCTCTTAACCAGCCAGCTCGAATATTTCTGGGAGCTGTCCAGCCTCTGGAGGACTACCATTATAAACTCTACCGGTTGCAATAAAAACTATCGAAAAAATGTGTATTCTTAATTCTTGCAGATTTTAAAATGGAAGGAGAAGTCTTCACAAGGGATTAGGCAGCAATATGGTAAAAGCAAGAGTGGGAAAGAGGATTAAAGGGTTGATCTAGTAGCTGAGATTGCATGTAGAGTAGACAATAAGAGGAATGAGGAAATTTAAATGTAATGTGTGTATATACTAAAGTCACTGTGGAAAGTAAGAATCCCTTAAAGGACAGGAAACCTGAGCATGGTATATTCAGGCAGTAAACCTGAAAGCCAGTGGGGTAATAGGGGTTAAAAGGCTGGACTGGTGCTCAAGAGATCCGAGTTCTAGCTTCTACTCAGCCATGATGCCCACTGGGTAACTTTGGAGCAGTCATGGTCTCTTAGCTTAACCTAAGTCCTGAGCACTGTTTCATCCTCCTCTTCCTCTTTTTGGTGTGATGGAACATTCAGCATCTCTTGTCCAGCAATAGCATTACTTTTATCGTCATGTATTTCACTTACGGAGAACAGGATTTTCAAGCACCCAGCAAGTGCAAGGGGAAGCCCATTGCACTGTTTGTTACGTTCCTGCTCTAATGCATAGTCTAATTGCTGATGCAGAGCCCCGATGAAGCCACAGTTTTATATGCATATCTTCATGTAAATTCAGTCCAGTTATATTTGCAATAGCAGCAAGTTAATTCCTTTGAGACCACAAACGATTTTCCTCCAGTCAGGGTGAATCATCCGTTCTATCGTCTTGTATTATGACTCATTCCTGATGGCTATTTTCTCTCTAATTTCATGTGGGCAGCTGCTTGCCACATCCGCTAAATGTCATTGAGCAGAGCATGACACTTCATTAGAAGTTGTGTGCTTTCTTCACCTGATGAAAGTGGCTGAAACAATAGGTGGAGAGGGAAGGTGGAAGCACTGATTAGAAAAAGTTCAGGATGGAAAGAGCTGTCTGCTTCCTTTCAGAAGTCAAGCTGCGTGGAGCAGACAGGGTGTCGGAGGGGCATTTCTTCTCATTTGAAACTTACTGGGAACCAGTTCATAGTTAAAGACGAAGAACTGCTTTCCCCCTGGTTCGAGAAGAAATGCACAGCGGTTGAGGGACTTGATGGCTTTGTGACTCTTCTGGGCTTTCACATTGCCCAGAGTTGCCTTCAGAGTATCCAACTCTGGGCCACTGTGATGCTGTAACTAGTATGCTTTAATACGACACTTGCCAAAGATCAGTGTAATCTGAACTGAACACACTTGCTTCATGAGTAAGATCTAGCCAAGTATTCCTATGAGACGGTATTGAGAAAGTTC